AGTATTTAAGAAGCTGAGAGACTTCTTCACCTCGCTGGATGATTACTCTACCTGGGTACCTTCTAACAGCCACTTGTGTATCTTAATCGAGCTCTTTTAACCTTTTGATAATTAGATTTGTTTTTGGAATTTGGATTTTGAGAATTTGATGAGTTTTTGGATAATGGATTTTTGCCTTTTGACCTCCTGCTCTTGTCTCCAGACAAACCTTCTCACTCATCTTAGACTGGCAGAACTCTGGAGCCCACACCATCTGGAACTCCAACCCCGCTCGTCTGTCAGCCTCTACCCTGGCCAGAACCACCTCCAGCTGCCCACCTAAACTTCCTGGACCTCCACAAGCTCAGCTCCCTCCACGTCTCACTTCTTGGATCTCAGTCCCTGCAAAGCCTCTCAACCCAGACCGGACCACTCCTCCCTCAAACTAGTTCCCTCCTCTCTCGACCGTAAGTCCTCTGCACAAGTCTGATTCCTTGTTCCCTCCTCAAATTGGATCTAACTCCGATCTGTCCACAGATTTCCCGCACCAGCTTCCTTGTGCAAGAACTCAGCTACGTTTATGCTACTTCCTTGGTTTTCCTTTAAAAAATCCTTGTTTAAACATTTCACCCCGTCTCTGATCTGATTCTGTATGTCGTGGGTTAGATATCTTCACCACAACATGACAGAATCATCCAGCCATTCCTCTAACCTCAGTACAGAATCAGTTCCCTCTGTCGTTTCCGCCACCCTAGCTCAGCACAGTTATTCACTCCAAGCTCTGTCCGATCAACTCTCCCACACTAACCACACCTTGTTTGAATTAGGAACGATAGTAAAGGATTTAAGCAACAGACTCACCTCCCCGGAGCAAGCCTCATCCCCCGCTCAGAGTTTGCCCAGACCCGTTCTTCCTGCACCATCCAGTCTGCCCAGCTTCCGGGTCGCTACCTCTCCTCCACCAGAGTCGTTTGACGGCGATCGGGAGGTTTGTCGAGGTTTTCTCCTCCAATGCCAGCTGGCTTTCCAGCGATCTCCAGAGTCCTTTTACACCGATGAAATTAAAATCTCCTACATCATCGGCCTTCTACGAGGCAAGGCACTCCGGTGGGCGGAGGCAAAGAGCCGGAACCCGAACTTCCTCAAGAGTCCATTAGATGAGTTTCTGGCAGATTTTAAAATGACTTTTGACAAACCTGAGTCAGCGGCTGAGGTGGCCAGACAGATTTGGAGCTTACGTCAAGGAAAGCTCTCAATCGCGGATTTTGCCATAGAGTTTCGGACCCTAGCCGCCACTTCCACCCTCGATGAAGCCTCACTTAAGCGGGCGTTCACCCAGGCTCTTAACGAGCAACTTCAGGATCAACTAGCTTTCTGCCAAGAACCACCGGATCTCGAGAGTCTCATCGCACTGTGCAGTCGGATGGAAAAGAGACATAAGGCACGCCAAAGAGGTAACAACTTCCCCTTACCATCTCGACTTAACTGCCCGCAAAATGTGAATACAGCAGCTCCAGCTCCGCCCCCCAGTGAGCCCATGCAGATCGGTCGAGCTAAGTTAACTCAAGAGGAGAGAAACAAGTGCATGAGTTCAGGGGCGTGTTTGTATTGCGGCATGTCTGGACATTTTGTGGCTAACTGCCCCAAGCAGTTAAACTCCAGGTCCCATCAGTAGCCCCGAGAGCACTGGTGGGTGGTTATCCGTCAGATTCAAACTCTCGGTGTTTATTGGAATGTTCTCTGTCATATAATCACATTTCTCTTCCCTCTGGCATTAATTGACTCTGGCTGTGAATTAAATCTTCTTGACCAACAGCTAGTGGAGCAACTCCTGGTCACCACTTTCCCTCTACAGACACCCTACCGGGTATCCTCTCTGGACGGGGGCTCCCTCACTTCTATCGCTCACAAGACGGCACCCATTCGCCTTATGACGTCAGGTAACCACAGTGAAGAACTCACCTTTTTTGTGTTTCCATCCCCTCAATCTCCTGTGGTCCTGGGTCATCCCTGGCTTAAGAACCATAACCCCCGTATTAACTGGGCAACTAACCAAGTGGAGATGTGGAGCAACAAGTGTCATTCAGCCTGTTTGGGACCAGCCCGTTCTAGTTCCAAGCCTCGAGCCCTGAAGACCACACCGCCCGACCTCTCCACGGTTCCACCTGAATATCACGACCTCCAGCAGGTATTTTCTAAAAATAAAGCGTCCTCCATACAACCTCACCGCCCTTACGATTGTGCTATAAATCTTCTCCCTGCAGCACCTCTTCCCTCTAGCCGTCTCTACAGCATCTCCAAGCCCGAACGTTAGAGTATGGAACAGTACATCTCCGGGTCCCTGGCATCTGGCATAATTCGGCCTTCCACCTCTCCTCTGGGTGCTGGCTTTTTCTTTGTCTCCAAGAAGGACGGCACCCTGAGGCCTTGCATCGACTACCGTGACTTAAACCAAATCACCGTAAGAAACAAGTATCCATTACCCTTACTGTCATCCACATTCGAACCCGTACAAGATGCGACCATATTTACCAAGCTGGATCTTAGAAATGCTTACCATCTGGTTCGCATCAGAGAGGGAGATGAGTGGAAGACGGCTTTCAAAACACCAATCGGACATTTTGAGTATTTAGTCATGCCTTTTGGCCTCACGAACGCACCTGCCGTTTTTCAGAACCTGGTTAACACTGTTTTGAGTGACTACTTGAACAAATTCGTCACTGTATATCTTGACGACATTTTGATTTTTTCGAGGACCCCCGAGGAACACACTGGTCATGTCCGAGCCGTTCTCCAACGCCTGCTCGAGAATCGGTTCTACGTTAAGGCGGAGAAATGCGAATTTCGTGCCCCATCTGTTAAGTTTCTGGGTTTCGTTCTTGAGAGTGGAAGGCTGGGACCCGACCCCGAAAAGGTACAGGCAGTTAAGGACTGGCCCACTCCTTCCACACGCAAACAGCTGCAGAGATTTTTGGGTTTCGCTAATTTCTATCGTTGGTTTATTAAAGGGTACAGCCAGATAGCCGCCCCTTTAACACAACTAACCTCGGTGAAGAGGCCTTTCATTTGGGATGCTGAAGCCTCCAGGAGTTTCTGTGACTTAAAGGAGAGGTTCATTCAGGCCCCTATTCTCACCCGTCCAGACCCTGCAAGACAGTTTACACTCGAGGTCGACGCCTCAGATACTGGAGTCGGGGCTGTGCTTTCCCAAACCTCCCCCACAGATCACCGCCTCCATCCCTGCGCCTTCTTCTCGCGGCGCCTCTCTCCTGCCGAGAGAAATTACGATGTGGGAGATCGAGAGCTCCTAGCTGTGAAACTCGCCTTGGAGGAGTGGAGGCACTGGCTGGAGGGAGCTGAGCACCCCATTGTGATATGGACGGATCATAAAAATCTCTCCTACCTCAAAGAAGCTAAGAGACTCAACCCACGACAATCCAGGTGGTCCCTGTTCTTCTCTCGTTTTCACTTTATCATTTCTTACAGACCTGGCAACAAGAACATCAAGCCCGACGCTCTCACGACAGTTCTCAGTGAATTCGGATCCCGAGCCCACTACCATCATTCCACCAGATTGTGTCCTGGGAGCCGTTACCTGGGAGATACGGGATCAGGTGCTCGAGGCTCAAATGAACTACCCCTGTCCCAATCAGGTACCCAACCGCACCCTGTTTGTTCCTCCTTCTGTCAGGCATAAGGTGATCAACTGGGCCCACACCGCCAAGTTCTCTGTCCACCCTGGTGTCAGTCGTACCGTAGCCTTAATCCGGAGGTCTTTCCGGTGGTCAACTATGTTTAAGGATGTCAAGGAGTACGTTTCCGCCTGCCAAACCTGTGCCCGCAACAAGGGAAGTAACCAACCCCCATTTGGACTATTACATCCGCTACCTATTCCCTCTAGACCCTGGTCCCATATAGCACTGGATTTTGTCACCAGTCTTCCCCCTTCTCGAGGCTTTATTGTTATTTTGACCATTATCGATCGTTTTTCCAAGGCTTGTCACCTAGTGCCGCTAAAGGCTCTACCTTCTGCCGCTGACACCGCCAGTCTGCTTGTTAAGCATGTTTTTAGGCTCCATGGCATCCCTGCGGAGATACTGTCAGACCGCGGCCCTCAGTTTGTCTCAAGGGTGTAGAGGGACTTTGCCACCTGCTTAGGAGCCAAGGTGGCGCTAACATCTGGGTTTCATCCGCAGTCTAACGGACAATGCAAGAGACTAAATCAGGAGGTGGAAGCCATGCTCCATTGTCTGTGTTCCTCTAGCCCTTCCAGTTGGAGTACCCACCTTCCATGGATTGAATACGCCCATAACGCCCATGTCTCCTCCGCCACCGGACTATCCCCCTTCGAGGCCTCGACAGGTATTCAACCCAGTTTGTTCCCCTCTGAGTTTCCCTCCACAGTTTCCTCCATTCCTCGGTTCCTGAAGGGGGTCCGACGGGTTTGGGCGGCCACGCAACAGGCCCTACAGAGGACTGCAAAACGCAACCGGCATCAGGCCGATCGGCACCGGTGTCCTGCCCCAGACTGTGCGCCTGGACAGAGCGTCTGGCTCTCTACCAGGGACATCAGATTAAAGGACCACTGCAGGAAACTTCCTCCCACATTCATCGGTCCCTACACAATCTCTGCTGTCATCAACCCGTCCTCCGTCCGCTTGGATCTACCTCCCCACATGAAGATACACCCCGTTTTTCATGTCTCCCTCCTTAAGCCTGTCATCTCCAGTTCCCTGTGCCCTCCTGTCGACCCTCCGCCTCCTGTGCGACTCGCTGACGGGGGCCTCGGTTACCGTGTCCAGCACCTTCTGGATGTGTGACCTCGTGGCCGCGGTTTCCAGTACCTGGTCGAGTGGGAGGGTTATAGCCCGGAACATCGGCAGTGGGTCCCGAGGTCATGGATCGATGACCCCTCTCTAATCCGGGATTTCGAGATGGCACGCTCCTCCTCCTCCTCCTCCACCTCCTCCTCCTCTGCTCGGCCGCCAGGTGGCGTCCCTTGAGGGGGGGGGGGGGGGGGTACTGTCACGGTCTGAGGTGTATTCCTGCTGTCACTCCCTGTCTTTTGAGTTTTCCCTCTGCAGGTGGGCGTGTCTGGAGGTTGACCAAGCTGCAGCAGATCTGCTCATCAGCTGGCCAGGGGTATTTAAGCAGCTGAGAGACTTCTTCACCTCGCTGGATGATTACTCTACCTGGGTACCTTCTAACAGCCACTTGTGTATCTTATTCGAGCTCTTTTAACCTTTTGATAATTAGATTTGTTTTTGGAATTTGGATTTTGAGAACTTGATGAGTTTTTGGATATTGGATTTTTGCCTTTTGACCTCCTGCTCTTGTCTCCAGACAAACCTTCACACTCATCTTAGACTGGCAGAACTCTGGAGCCCACACCATCTGGAACTCCAACCCCGCTCGTCTCTCAGCCTCTCCCCTGGCCAGAACCACCTCCAGCTGCCCACCTAAACTTCCTGGACCTCCACAAGCTCAGCTCCCTCCACGTCTCACTTCTTGGATCTCAGTCCCTGCAAAGCCTCTCAACCCAGACCGGACCACTCCTCCCTCAAACTAGTTCCCTCCTCTCCAGACCGTAAGTCCTCCGCACAAGTCTGATTCCTTGTTCCCTCCTCAAAGTGGATCTAACTCCGATCTGTCCACAGATTTCCCGCACCAGCTTCCTTGTGCAAGAACTCAGCTACGTTTATGCTGCTTCCTTGGTTTTCCTTTAATAAATCCTTGTTTAAACATTTCACCCCGTCTCTGATCTGATTCTGTATGTCGTGGGTTAGATATCTTCACCACAACATGACACTTTCTGATTCTGATTAATCAGCTGCTCCCGATTGTAAACCAGCTTGTTGCCATGGTTATGCATCATAACAAATGCTCAAAAAGTGAAAAAAGCTTAAAAAAATAGCAGCAAAAATCCTCCAAGCTTCACAGCACCAGAAACAGAAAAGCAAAGTGTCCAAAAAATACAGTTTTTCTTGAGAAACCAGAAGAAAAAATGCCCAAGAAAAGGCAAAACCCACATACAGTCAACATAACTACTCCAACATGCAGCCGCCCAGAGCAGCGCAGCTCCAGAAAAAGCACGCTCAGAAAACTGAGTTCATGATAAATTTCCGTGAGCATCCAGAGATGTAGAATTTTCATCCCAGCCGCTTCTGGGTCTATGAATGCTAATTTGAAATTGTGTCACTGGCTTTAATCCGAGTACTTCCCCATCTATTGTCATTGCCAGCTAATGCAGGAAATAGGGGTTTAGGTTGCTTTTGTCTTTAAAATAACGTATTTATCAAGAAGTAGAGCCAGTCACTTTAATTAGCCAGAGTAAGTTTTGATTTATTCTCATGAGCAGCAGCATCTCACCCGGTCACTCAGTTTTGTACAATAAAAACGTTTTGTAAATGAGAGAAAAAAAATTCTGACAACATGAGGCAGAAAAGAGCGAAGAATAAATAATTGAAGCATCTCAAAGGGGCAAATCCACAGTTTTGCATATTTTTGCGGGTTTTAGGAATTTGACTTGCAGAGATGAGCTGCATTCCCCAGCTCTGTGTAACCTCATACATCAGGATGAATGAATAATAAGAGCCAAGTAGCTGCAGGGTTCCCCTATGATCATCTGTACACTTAATGCATTAGCATTAGCATGTATTTGACCATTCTACATGGATCATAATACTTATAATTTTACCATAAATAGACCTCACCGTGCAGCCAAAGTGCAAAGTTGTGGCTATTTCCCCTTAAATAAGATGACAATATTAAAAGTAAAATTCATTTTTGATCAATGATCAGGAAGAAAAACCCTAAATATCAGAAGTAAAAACATTCATTCTGGATAAAAATACAACAATTGTTCATTTAACCTGTAATCTTATTATTTTCTCGTTCTTTTTTCTAAGTGCGTGTGCTGCTGCAGCGAGTGGGAATAATAACGTCTATATTCTATCATGTGTAACAACATACCATCAACATAAAAACAAAATACTAATACAATTCTAATAAACCTGAAGTACTGTGCATATTACTAAATGTAATTGTGTTAGTATTTTGATGAAACCTTGGTCACACTTTCACTTGATCTGTTTAAAATATCAAAGAACTATTTTGATGGATGACCCACTTTTTCCTTTAATTCATCCATTTTTTTTCTCCCATCAGAGACTAGATGTGCGAGAGAGAAACCCCGACCTCCCCCACTCAGAGCACAGAGGATATTATAATCCGTCCTGATCCGAGGTCTCATCCCAGGGAGTTGACCAGGAGGCGTCCCAGGCAGACACCAGACAATCTTATCTGACTTTTTGGTGTGGAGGAAGGTTCCATAGGATCTTCTCTGCATCTGTAATTTATATGGAGGAACCATTTTTGTCCTGGTTTCTCCAGAATGTTATCTGGTCTCAACACAAGTGGTCTCAGGTGAAAACATGAATGGACTAGTTCCTGAGCGTTGTTGTTCGACTCGACTCAGCTGTCCTTACTCTGATAATCTAGTTTCAATCAAATCTTTCCCTCCATCAAATAACAAGTCCCATCCCATTCCACCTTGTTCAGGTGGAGATCTGTGGGCTCAGCTTTGTGTCTGGGGTAGATTTTAAGGTGGAGATGCAGCATCTTTAGATTCCAACTCAGAACAGACTTCAGGGATGAACAGAAAAACGTTACTTGGAAGCAGACAAGAACTTTGTGTCCTTTTCAGAAAACACATTGCCAGTATTGTCCATAAAATATAAATCTACTGCTGTTAGCAGGATTTTAATAAGGCTGTGTAATTTTTCACATAGGTGAGTTTGTCCTGAGCCCATGGCTGGGTTTTATGGGTAAAATTAGTCTCTGGGATTCCTGCCGATCCTGTTGCAGATCCATATGGCACTGAGCTCAGCTCCGAGCCTGCCTTCACTCACTGACATTCCCTTGTTAGAGTTGGAAATGGAGGTTTCCCAATCTTCTTCCTAACGGAGTCAGACGGGATCACCCGTCACTGCTACCAGTCTGTACACACGTTCAAACGCAGCATCACTGTTTAGGGAACATTTTGTCAAAGTGGCAGGAAAGGGGATCAAACATGCTAATTAGATGAAAAACAGCTCTGATGGTAATCAGGAGAAATCCCCAAATTAGTTTGGAGCATCACTAAATCAACGTCTTCCGTATTTATCTGTTGAACATGCAGCTGTTCCCCCAAGAAGTCCCAACGGTTTTATGGGTTTGTGTTCTCATTTGCTGTTTAATGCTTAAGAACGCAAAGAACGGTGAATGGCATGTATCTGACATAACGCCTAACAGGGCTCTACAACCCCCCAAGGCACTTTACAATGCCACCCATTCAGACAAACGCATTCAGGCGCTGGTGGTGAAGAGTTGCGTTGTAGCCACATTTGCCTTGGCACACTGACAGAGGCTAGGCTGCTGAGTACTGGTGCCACCGGTCTCTTCAACCACCACCAGCAGGTGGGGCTCAAACCTGCAACCCTCTGATTATGGGACGGGCACTTAACTTCAAAAAGCAGAAAAATCTCTTAACTCATTCACAGCCGGTTGTTTCCTGATCAGAAAAGCTCTTCGGTGCCAGCATTTTTCAGCGTTTTCACTGTTTTTTGAAGTTTCACAGAACGTTGCGCTCTATGATGATGTCAACACCAAAACTAGCAAAACAAAGAGTAGACTCACCTCTTACATCAGTAATAATCCGTGTGTTTAAAGTGTTATGCATTCTTTCATAATCCGTCGTCGAATTGTGAGCGGCAGAAGCTTTTCTGGTTCACGCCTCACTTTTTTTTTTTACAGCAGCGGCTAAAAACGATCTCCTAACACATGGATTCTCTGCTTCCTGATCACGTGACGTGTGACGTACGCGGATGAAGATCAGCTTTAGAGCTGGGATGTTTGTTCTCACATTGCGGGGGCTCGCTCTGATGCCCACACAGTTCCATCCATCCATCCATTTTCATCCGCTTATCCGGAGTCGGGTCACGGGGGCAGTAGCCTAAATCGAGAGGCCCAGACTTCCCTCTCCCCAGCCACTTGGGCCAACTCCTCCGGGGAAATCCCAAGTCATTCGCTAGCCAGGTGAGAGACATAGTCGCTTCAGCGTGTCCTGGGTCTGCCTTTAGACCTCCTCCCGGTTGGACGTGCCCAGAAAACCTCACCAGGGAGGCGTGCAGGAAGCATCCTGACCAGATGCCTGAGCCACCTCAACTGGCTCCTCTCGATGTGGAGGAACAGCAAATCTACTCCGAGCCCCTCCTGAATGACCGAGATTCTTACCCTATCTCTAAGGGAGAGCCCAGCCACTCTGCAGAGAAAACTAATTTCAGCCGCTTGTATCCGCAATCTCGTTATTTCGGTCACTACCCAAAGCTCATGACCATAGGTGAGGGTAGGAACGTAGACAGATCCGGTAAATCGAGAGCTTCGCCTTCTGACTCAGCTCTCTCTTCACCACGATAGACCGGTACAACGCCCGCATCACTGCAGATGCAGCACCAATCCTCCTATCGATCTCACGCTCCAGTTTTCCCGCACTCGTGAACAAGACCCCGAGATACTTAAACTCCTCCACTCGGGGCAGGACCTCAGGCCCACACAGTTAAAAAATGCAAATAACAACTTTAGTTCACTAGTTGGATTTTAAATGGTAGTAAGTGAGTTAAAGCTAATGCTGCAGCACCAGCTTTGGTATTTTGACACCATTCAGCAAAACACATCAGTGTTTTGTAAAGAATCTAAGCCAGTAAACAGGAGCAACCCAGAAGTTATAGATTGTACTCCAAAGAAGCCATGACATCTTTTTGTTTTACACTAATATCAGGTGAAGAAGGCTAGAGGCTAATTTTGAGCTAACAAGACTAACGGTGATTTAGAATGAGTGACTAAAAATATCTCAAGTTACTTTTTCAATTACCAACAACTTGATATTACAGTGAAACGTATTCATCTACATAACAACTCACTGTGTATGACTTGTCTTCTCATCCTCTAGAATCTTTTGACACTGCGCCGTAGCTGGCAGCAGCCATGAAACTCACGGGATGGTAGTGAGAGACTTGTGGGTTTGGAGAATGGGCTGCAAGTACCCAAACTCCACCACAGGATGGTTTCATCCTTACTTCACTTTTACTTACTGCACATTTAAACAAGAAACTGGTGTCGTTGTTTTTTCATCATAACAATATTATGATGATCACAAAGTAAAGAGTCACATTTTATTGTACACTAGGTCAGAGTGAGCCTCTGATTTCCCAGGAGTAACCTCAGGATGTACCATGCTGATGGAGGGAAGTCTGCTCCTCTAAATCTGAGGCCAAGCTTGTCTGATCAGAGAAATGACAGGAATGCGTTTTGTCTTAAAAAGAGGAGTTTATGTTTCTTGTTCATAAGTCGTAGCAGGACGTAGCAAGAGATGGATCAGTGGATCGAGGCTCTGTTGTCCATTATGATGACGTCACGTTGGTCAGTTGTAGAGGAGAAAGACCAGATCCAGCAGTGAAAGCCCTGGGATTACTGGTCCATCTTTGCTCCAACTCTCATCATGAGATTTGGACCAGGACCACAGCACCTCAGACACAAGCAGCGGACATGAGCTTCTTCTGTAGGAATAGGGCGCAGAGCTACGTCATGACTGAGCTTTTACCCTACAACTTTTGACACAGTGTTTTTTTTATCTTGTCCTGGACGTCATCACTAAAGAAAGGCTGCAGCTTTACACCTCTTCCTTCTTCCCAAATTCTAAATGAAATGACG